AATTATGTATGATATTTCTACAAAATAGAGAACCACACTTAAAATAATGTATTATATTTCCACAAAATAGAGAACCACACTTAAATTATGTATGATATTTCTACAAAATAGAGGGCCACTCTTAAAATAATGTATAATATTTCCACAAAATAGGGGGCCACTCTTAAAATAATGTATGATATTTCTACAAAATAGAGAACCAAAATTAAAAGAACCCAAATGTTTTCCTTCATTTCTTGTTTTATCTCTTATGCATTAGTCTATTTGTATGTTTCTTATGCAGCATTAGGCCTCACAATTCAACACCGACATGACTAGGTCCAGACGATAATGTAACAGTCATGACCAAGAGAGAAAACTAAAGTGCTTCAACTGGAACAAGACTGAACATATAAACCTAGGGTAAGTCCATAGTCCATATAAGACTGAACATATAAACCTAGGGTAAGTCCATAGTCCATACAAGACTGAACATGTAAACCTAGGGTAAGTCCATAGTCCATATAAGACTGAACATATAAACCTAGGGTAAGTCCATAGTCCATATAAGACTGAACATATAAACCTAGGGTAAGTCCATAGTCCATACAAGACTGAACATGTAAACCTAGGGTAAGTCCATAGTCCATACAAGACTGAACATATAAACCTAGGGTAAGTCCATAGTTCATACAAGACTGAACACATAATTTGTTTTTATCTTTGCCATGTCACCTAGGGTAAGTCCATAGTCCATATAAGACTAAACATATAAACCTAGGGTAAGTCCATAGTCCATATAAGACTGAACATATAAACCTAGGGTAAGTCCATAGTCCATACAAGACTGAACATGTAAACCTAGGATAAGTCCATAGTCCATACAAGACTGAACATATAAACCTAGGGTAAGTCCATAGTCCATACAAGACTGAACATATAATTTGTTTTTAATCTTTGTCATGTCACCTAGGGTAAGTCCATAGTCCATAGCTAGTATTTCTGTTGGATATGAGAGAATTATGACCAGGAATACTATCATATTATCACTACTGCTATACGTTTTCCACCAACCATCTATTGGTATACTTGTTATAATTGTTTCTACAGATTACTAAAGTTAGGATAAACTACAGGAAGTATTTATCATGCTGGTAAAATACTCATAGACTATTAAAGGTTTGGTATTTTTCTCACGTAATAACTGTTGAATTATTTATAGTGTCACCACAGGTACCGTACCTTGGGGAATGCCAACTGTGGTTTCTTCAAGTACAGGTGTCCAAGCAGTAAACCAACAGCATAGGGAGCAAGGTGTGTATACGGTTTGATGTAGAGCTCCATAGAAAATTCATACTGTTGGCTGAAAGAGAGAGAGAGAGAAGAAAAAAAATCACATTAAATTCATTAGCATACATTAGCGCAAGCACGTGGATTGCATTAATAAACAACTTTAGTTATCGAAAACGTATACTCATTAATTCAGGTGAGGTTGTTCGTATTCTATCACTTAACCTGCGTCAGCTACATTTATTGGCATGAGATACCTTACCTCAAATCAGGATTGGCGAACAGTTGGACTGGTGGGAAATCTCTGAAGTGGGTGATCAAGGCTATAGTTGCCACGGAGATTAACATAAATGTGATGGTTACACACACGCTAATGATCCCTCTGTTCCTGAGAATATTGACACAAAGAAGCAAATGTAATAATAAAAAAAAAACAGGGAAACTTAATCTAAAGAAAAACCTGCTTACTTAGCTTAACCAACAAATCTAATGATAAATTACTAGCTCAAAAAACAGAATCTATTCACGTGTAAACAACCTGTATCTCGAAGTTCTACTAACATTTGTTTTCACACACACACGATCAAAGTATTTTATGGTATACAGATATGTTTGAATTCATCTAAGTGGTTTAACAATGATAATTATGAAGGAATACTTTGAAACATACTTAACTTAAATTTTATTTCAAAACGTAGCTGTTCATAAGGAAAATGTCCAAATATGTACTGCATATTATAATTTAATACCAAATATAAACGGCAGATGGTGCTGATCGATTGGACTGTGTTACCTACTATACATTCATACCAGATATCAAAATACTGGGTAAATCTCGTATACTAATAATTTAGCAATAACATATCAAAACACTGAACAGAAAATACAGTAAATTAACCCATCACATAGGCTTTGTCTGTGTGTCACAGAAGGACAGCGAAATATTTCTTAATCCTAGGTAAGCTTAAAGAGAGCTAAGCCTATTTTGCTCTTGATACCACTGTATGTTTATGTGGCTTGCTTCTATGAAGGACTTTCAAAGAAAACAGTATGTATCAAAACACTGAACAGAAAATACGGTAAATTAACCCATCACATAGGCTTTATCTGTGTGTCACAGAAGAACAGCGAAATATTGCTTAATTCTAGGTAAGCTTAAAGAGAGCTAAGCCTATTTTGCTCTTGATACCACTGTATGTTTATGTGGCTTGCTTCTATGAAGGACTTTCAAAGAAAACAGTATGTGTCAAAACACTGAACAGAAAATACGGTAAATTAACCCATCACATAAGCTTTGTCTGTGTGTCACAGAAGAACAGCGAAATATTGCTTAATTCTAGGTAAGCTTAAAGAGAGCTAAGCCTATTTTGCTCTTGATATCACTGTATGTTTATGTGGCTTGCTTCTATGGAGGACTTTCAAAGAAAACAGTATGTATATATATATACGTTAGTCGTTCAAGTACAATGTAAACATTAACGACCCTAAAATCATCTAATTCTAAAAATATGGTGAGGCATTGTAGTGTTTTTAAAAAAAAATAACCAACAATGTTATTAATTATTATTAATAATTAATAATAACAATGTTATTAATCCTCCATTGCAATTGTTTAATAATAAGAAGTAAATTTTTTTGTTATAATAAATAAATCTTTGTCAAATGACGTATAACTATGTAGACATAATGTTTTGTTTGTTTTTTACACGCTAGGCCTCGTGCAATAGGCCTAGTATCATATGTAGACATAATGTTTTGTTTGTTTTTTACACGCTAGGCCTCGTGCAATAGGCCTAGTATCATATGTAGACATAATGTTTTGTTTGTTTTTTACACGCTAGGCCTCGTGCAATAGGCCTAGTATCATAGTGTAGACATAATGTTTTGTTAGTTTTTACTACGCTAGGCCTACGTGCAATAGGCCTAGTATCATA